GGATTGTGGTGTGGTCATCCCCCCGAGGGATGATTTCTCACTTTCCCTCTCACTCTGTCTCTGTCTCTCTGTCTCTCTGTATCTCTCGGTGAGTGTGTGTGTTCTAAGGCAGAAACCTCTAAAAAAAAAAACAGATAAGTGATCACTTTCCATGAGCCTGTTAATTCTTTGAGTTCAAGGTTTAAATGTCACTTAACTTTGACTTTCTTATACCACATGACTGAATGTAAAAATTTTAATTATTTAATTTCCCTGTCTAACTTAAACTCCTACCTTAAATATGTGTCCCCACACATTTTTTAAAGTTTATTTATATATTTCTTCTCTGAGAGACAAAGGCCGAGGGAAAGTACCCCCAATATGGTCTTTATGTTGGACTCTACCTTCAATTTCAGCCAACCCAGATTACAACCATACTCTCCATGCACAGGGAGACCTCAAGATTCGAACTCAGAACCTACCCATATGGGTTCAGTTGCTTTACCTCTGTGTCACTATCTGACCCCAAGTACCCGCAGCATGTTTTTTTAATGCTGGGGGTACATACACACACACAAGTGAAAGGAGAGAGAGACAGAGAGAAGGCACCTCCAGGGGAGCTGATTTATGCCACAGTCCTTTTGGCTTTGAGTGTCCGTCCCCATAGGATCCTGAGTGCCCTGGCTTGCTACATGGGACCCAGCTTCCTCTACACAGAGCTTAAGCACTGGGCTGTACAGCTGGCCTGACCCCTGAACATTTAGCAGAGGTTCTCACTGAACTCATTTAGACACATTAACGGAGGAATTTTATTCCAGCTCACATAACTGAAGAATACAAACTTTAAAGAAAATTAAATTTACTGATTTTTGTATTGCTGTAGTATTTTATTTCATTTCATGGCCAAATTCCTCTCTGAATCTGTTTCTTTTCCTCAGAACTAGGGATTTTGTTGTCGCTCGCATTGGTACCTAAGTCCTAAAATGATTGCAACAATTAAAGAAACTAATACACAAGGTGCGTAGCACAGTGCCTGACATGCGATAATCAATGTTAAGTATTGATTTTATTATTGTAAGTGATTTGAAGGAAATTATGGTTGCCAGTGAGTAAGATGATGAGAAAGATGAGGTGGAAAAGAGGAGAAAATAAATAAAACTGAAAACCAGAGAGAAGGAAAAGGCATGCAAAGACAAAAACAGAAAGATGACCCTGGATTCAGGCTACTTTATTCCCCACGGGAGAGTCCAAATCTCAAGGATGTCTCAAAGAAATGTTCTTTTTCAAACTCTGGGAATAAGGGATGCACATAAAACGTTGCTGCTACTAGATGATGTTTCATTCCTTCTCTGCTCTTAACAATCATGCGGAACCAGACAGTGACACAGTGGTAGTGACCTGGACCCACATGGGAAGGTCTCGGGTTCCCATCCTGAAGTCTCCTATACGTGCTGGGTACATATGTGTACCCATGATCTTGGCTGGCTAAAGCTGGCAGGGGGTCGATTGTGTTGTAAAGATGTCATGGCGGGGGTGGGGGTGCCTCTCCCTCATGGAAGAAATGAGTAAATAACCTTTAAAGAACAGTCATGTGGTATAATTATTTAATTTCCCTGTCTAACTTAAACTCCCTTATAAAATCTATTTTTGTGTTTATAAAAAATCAACACATGGAACCAGTAGATGTCGTAGCAGTCAAAGTCCCATATAAAATCTATTTTTGTGTTTAAAAAAACCAACACATGGAACCAGTAGATGTCGTAGCAGTGAAGGCACAGGATTCCCACATGGTCGACTGGTTTGAGTCTTCTTGAAACTCATCCTGAGTGTGTGCACGTGTGTGCCCAAAATCTAAGAGGAGACTGGAAGAGAGGGACTACGACATGGCCATCCCTCCTGGGGAGTGATTTCTCACTTTCTGTCTCTCTGTCTCTCCCTGTCTCTTTAGTGAACGCACATGACTTATAGCAAAACTCTCAAAAAAGGAATAAAGGAAAAAAAAAAAAAAGCACTTGTTAGGTGCCCTATGGATCCACTAAATGAAAAAAGATAATACCACCTACAAAACTGAAGGCAAAACATGTAAGAAGTTGATTATACATATATATATATATACATAGGAGAGGTTTTCGCTATAGGGCGCGTGCACTCGCTGGAAAGACAGAGAGAAAGAGAGATAGAGAGATAGAAAGCAAGAAATTACTCCCCATGGGTGATGGCCATGCTGCAATCCCTTCTCCTCCATTCTCCTCTTGGGTTAAACTCCCTTATAAAATCTATTTTTGTGTTTATAAAAAATCAACACATGGAACCAGTAGATGTCGTAGCAGTGAAGGCACAGGATTCCCACATGGTCGACTGGTTTGAGTCTTCTTGAAACTCATCCTGAGTGTGTGCACGTGTGTGCCCAAAATCTAAGAGGAGACTGGAAGAGAGGGACTACGACATGGCCATCCCTCCTGGGGAGTGATTTCTCACTTTCTGTCTCTCTGTCTCTCCCTGTCTCTTTAGTGAACGCACATGACTTATAGCAAAACTCTCAAAAAAGGAATAAAGGAAAAAAAAAAAAAGCACTTGTTAGGTGCCCTATGGATCCACTAAATGAAAAAAGATAATACCACCTACAAAACTGAAGGCAAAACATGTAAGAAGTTGATTATACATATATATATATATACATAGGAGAGGTTTTCGCTATAGGGCGCGTGCACTCGCTGGAAAGACAGAGAGAAAGAGAGATAGAGAGATAGAAAGCAAGAAATTACTCCCCATGGGTGATGGCCATGCTGCAATCCCTTCTCCTCCATTCTCCTCTTGGGATCTTGGGCACGCATGCACACATGCCCGGCATGAGTTTAAGCCACCGGGTCCAGGACTCGACCTGCGGCCAACTACATGGGAGTCCAGCGACATAGCCATTATGCTAACTGCTGGTCCCAGAAGTTGATGTATTTTTACAATAGCGTGAAATACACTGGATGATTAAAAAAAATTTTTTTTTAAATGAGGATAAGTAAGAGAAACTGTGCTAGTTAGAAAAGACTGAACGGCAGCTTAACAGTCTTTTTCATTTATTTGGCTTGGTACCAGATTGTGAAGGTTTAGATGTGGTTCTGGTCTCTGTTGCTAGAGACAGAAAACACCTGAGTTTGGGTTATTTAAGAGAATTAGAGTTTTCTGGGCTTATGATTTGGCTTTCTAAGCCCCAGGGCCTCCACCTCCAGGGGAGTCTTCTTGCACATGGAAGACATGGCAGAGGGCTGGAAAGAGCAAACACCGAGGACGGCGTGTATCTCTCTTATTCCTTCTTCTAAACCCGCTAGGCTTCAGCCACAAGACCCTGCCTTAATCACCTGTCAGCTTTCTTATTCTCTGCTTGCTACAAGCCTGAAATGTGTGAAACTGTGACCCTAAGGGTTTGTGTGACTCAACTGTATATGGACACGTAAATATTTACCCTCTTCTTCAACAGCTTTGACAACATCAAATTAGCTGTGCTGACTCTCAGGCTTCTTGACAACAGCAGTAATACCAGTACCTGGGATATTTCACATTCCTAACTAATGAGTATGTCATCTATCAAACTGCTATTGACTCCGACACCACTGGATTAAGGCAAGTCAACTGAGAAATATAAATATTTTCCTCCTAATTGACCTCATTCATTCATTCATTCAACAAGTATTTACTAAACATCTTATATGTGCCAGGGCAGGTTACTCTGGCACAAGAAATACAAAGAGGACTGGAAATAAGGTTGATAAAATTCTAAATTACAGTCATTGGTGTCCTGTCTCCAAAAATAAAAGATGATTCTAGTGCAGATAAATAGAAACTCACCTTACACCAAAAAAAGCTATAAAATACTGTATACAGTTCAACACACAGCTTTTGTCATATACCCTAGTCCCACTAATCATGAAGGTCTTGTGAGAACTACTATTTAAATCTTGATGTTTGCAAAGCATTTTACAAAGTGTCATGCTCCCATTCTTGTGAAGATGTAGACCTATGGGTTGGGTATTTTAAAATGAATCACACTTTTAGAATAAATTATTCAACACATATTTATTTTCCCCATACTACACACTTCTGTGAAATTACCCAGATAAGAAACTATGAGTTTATCACAGGAGAAACAACCTTGAACAGACTACAAGACAGCATGTAAAAGGTGGCATTAAAAATGTGCAGACAAATGGTTTTGGAAGTTCAGAGAGTAGATAGACTGTTCTGGATGGTCAAAGACTAGGCATGTACAGTCTTTAGGCTAATTGTTATAAAAGAAGAATTGCAACATACAGAGATGTGAGTATAAGGCATTCCAGCCAAAGTGATTACATGTACAAATCCTGTACGGAACAGAGAACAGTTCAGTTTGACTACAGACCCACCATGTGGACATTATGGTGACTCTTGAACATTAGAAACTTGAACTTGGTACTGTAAGCATTAGGAAGCAGTAAGGATTTGGGATTAAGGGAAAGGTAAGAAGTGCTCGTTGGTGTATTGGTATTAACATAACCTTCGTCATGTCTCAAATGCAGCTGTGAAAGGCGTTCTGTCAGAAGAGAAAACCAAGTCCGGGGGCAATAACACCCAGTCAGGTCAGAAGGGCAGATGGGAGCAGTCTAAACGAGGGCATACTGTCTACCACTCACGCAGCAATCTCTATACACTACCTCCATTCCCCATCAACCTATTAGGAGGCTAAGCCAGAAGGAGTATTTCACTGTTTCACTGGCGAGAACGTTCAGAAGCACATGGGTCAAGCAGTTTGCTCTGGCTGCCTCAAGTAAGCGGAACATAGGCAACACGACCTGCAATCGTGAGTCTTCAGGCTGTTCTCCCACAGTGCCCTTCTTGTAAACTGGACAACATCATGCCTGTAGTATGGCCCTCTATGAGACCACTTTGAAACACTGAAGAAGTGTTGAAATTGGAGAGGGACATAAGTAACAGGAAGGTGTTTCATGCCTCTGTTCCTACCCTAAGCCTTATAAAAAGCAATGCAAACTTACAGTTGTTCTGCAGGAGCTTGTCCAGGGAGTCACGCCATTGCAGGGCCTCATCTGGAGAGGGCCTAAATCAAGAAAAGGTAAAGAAAGAAAAAAAGTGGCAGCATAAACAGAGAGTTCATCGCATTCGAGGGGTCTTTGAAAAACCTATGGAAAGTATGTATTATGAAAAAACTATGCATGGATTTCAAATTTGTTTTATACCAAAATAAGCTCATACTTTAGTTCCGTGTTTCCATGAACTTTCTGAAGTCCCCTCATATATCAAAAATGACACATCTCTATTTATCTTAAGTGGAAATGATACAACTGATGACCCACCTTCAGGAAAAGGAAGTTTGAGTTACTTTCTGCCCAGAGACTGGTTTGATGAGCTGGGTTTGCCTTTAGGGAAGTTTGAGTTACTTTCTGTCTTGAGACTGGTTTGATGAGCTGGGTTTGCCTTTATACATCTACACTGCATATCTTCAACTCTATTCTGAATAATTGGGCTCAGTCTATGACGTTTTAGAAGCAGAGTTTATTTGTCACGAAGCTGCGTCTTGATAGTCTTGTCTATCTTATGACAGAGGCTCCAATTGTGCTCTCGCTTCCAGTACAACTTAATAAAGTTCAATCTCATTATAGGGATTGAACTCATGTTCTCTTCCTCACCAATGCTGCACACCACATGATTTAATCAGCAAGGGATATTTGGTTCCATGGCCACATCCCAAGGCCACCTCACAAAAGCTAGTGAAATGTGGTGTGTGTGATGCTGCCTCACATAGGGAGCATGCTCATGGCAAGGCTACACTTTGAAAAATCTAGGTGAGTTTTTGCTCAATTAGGACAGGGTAAAATATCTTGTGCAGTGGTCTTCGCACCACTCCATCCAATACTTATCAATCCACTGTAATGAATTATAAAGATATATGTACATGCAGGACCAGCAGTTAGCGTAATGGCTATGTCACTGGGCTCACATGCAATTGACTGCAGTTCGCGTCCCGGACCCGATGGCTTAAAACTCACACCGGGCATGTGTGTATGTGTGCCCAAGATCCCGAGAGGAGAATGGAGGAGAAGGGATTGCGGCGTGGCCATCCCCCCTGGGGGTTGATTTCTCGCATTCTGTCTCTCTGTCTCTCTCTGTCTTTCTGGTGAGTGCACGTGCCCTATAGCAAAAACCTCTAAAAAAAAAGATATATGTACATGCTTTAAAATTTGTACATATGTGTGTGTGTGTATATATATATAATGTATATGAGTGTATATATATATATATATATATATATATGTTTCAAAGTTTACTCTTTTTGTGAAGAAAAATGACTAATACATCCTGAATAATAATTACATAAATGTTCTAGATGCCTACTGAAAAGAAGGAGATAATAGCCAACATAAAAATTCCCCTTGGGCTGTTTTTACTTTAACATTCATATATGCAGAAATCCAGCAGCTATTTGATTTTGTCACCACTTTCTTTCTCACAGCAGGATATGTCAAATCGAGAGGATGTTCTCTGGAAAAAATGGCTGACTGCACTCTCCCAAGCTCACCCTGCTTGAACTCTTGCATTATGATGTGAGTTCCTCATTGTCAGAGCAAAACAGACAAACAAGGTGTGCACTAGAATATTAAGGCCACTAGAGGTGTTCTTCCTAAATTGGAATTTCCTTAGCTTTTATAGCATTTCTCAACTGTCCAGACAGTTCAGGAGAATTTCTGCTTCTAATTTTTGTAAAATGATATCATGGGGTTTGAATTATTCAGATTAGCAGCTGAGATTGACAGACAATTGCTAACCTTTCTGTTATCCTATGTTCAGGGTCAGCCATTCTTCAGGTGGAGTTAAGATAGCAGTAGGTTTTCTGGCTAAAGTATGAAGAGTAACTCTCTCACTTCTCTATTTGCCACTGCAGAATAAGTATACGCTCTGAGTGCTAATGTTATGATTTTTAATGAACGTTGTGTGTTCTCTCACTTCTCTATTTGCCATTGCAGAATAAGTATACGCTCTGAGACCTAATGTTATGATTTTTAATGAACGTTGTGTGTTCACTCCTTAAAGATAAAGCTTGTAGAAATGAGAACAAACTAGCAAAGTCATCTTAGACCACTTTGGTTTCCCTGCCTGGCAGCAAAGATAGCATAGATTAAAAATTCAACATACTAACTCTTCAGAAATGTATTTCCCAAAAGTGAACTATTTTCCCTCTCCCTATTTTTCCTCAGGCTAGTATAAGAGGACTTCAAAAAAATCAGGGAAAAATGAAGTTAAAGTATAAATTTATTTTGGTGCAAGCATTTTTTAAATATATATTCAGTTCTTTTTCTTTTATTGTATTTGCCAATTTATTCACTAGTATTTGTAAAAAAAAAATTTTTTTATTCACAATAAAATGTGCATGCAAAAGAGAGAGAGAAAGAGAGAGAGAGAGAACCCTTGACAGGGTCTCATCACACTGCCATCTCCTTCCCCAGCCCTCCACCTGTTCAGGTTCACGGCCAACGTCATGCCTGGTGCATTCCAGGATAACCAGGCTGGGCTTTGAACCAGCCAGCATGTGGCTTCCAGCTCTATAGTTCAGTGTACTACTGACTCTTCTAGGTCCCTAGGTTTTCCATTATATGCATTTTCCACAACATTTTTGAATACCCCGCCAAGTAATACCAGAAAGGAGACAAGACACAAACAGAGGACTCCAAGTGCCTCCCTGTTTTTCTTGATCATTTGTCTTCCAGCTAGAAACGGACATATATTCTAGCGGTCAGTAACTTCTTTTGGCTCGTCTATGGTATCTCACATTGGCAGCTTTTCCTAGTACATTGTTCTGTATTTGCATGTTTATCGCAGGGACTTACTCACCTTAATTTCATCACCACAGCGAATTCAACCTTCTATACATAGAGGCAACTGCCAAGGCCCTGTTGACCCTTGGCAGGAGCAGCAGGACACTAAGTTACTGGGCTAGACAGTGGCTCAGATTAAAGAGGTATGAGCCACTGTTCTTCACACAAAGAGTACGTTCTGAAGCATACGTATACACATGGATGTAAGGAGGTCTGGTTCACGCAGTCTTCTGACTGTATATATATAGTCTCGTAAAGCAAAATCACCTTCACCTCTCGCTCCCCTCTGGTTTACATAGGGGGCGCAGGAGGAGGAAATGACAGGGTCAGGGGCACCCAGCTGCAGCATGTCACCAGATCCAGTTTGTCCCAAATGGTTCTGTTGGAAACAGACTAATGGTCAGTATGCGCAGCACGTCACAGTCGAGCTTAAATCCCTGAGAAGGACATGTACGGAGCCCGCTTGGGGGTGAAATTAGTTCAAATTGATTGAAGGACACAGTCAAGCAGGACGCGGCCCCCAGAGCACGAAGCCCACGCTTGTGCTGGCTGTGGAGGGGCAGAGGTTCATCCTGTCCCGATTCTCAGAATCTGCCAGCCCTCATTACATCCGACTGCTCTGGAAACAAGAGAGATGCAGATCTAAATGACCAGTGTGCACCCTGGTTTGCAAAGTCACAGCCGGCCATAGAGGGCGGGCACAGAGTCTCTGCGTGCGGGTGCAGAGGGGCGGGGAGGGAGCCAGTGCCAGTGAAGGTGAAGTAAACAGCTGTGGAGACGATTAGCTGCGTGGGTTATAATGCCTGGCGTAGGGACCAGCAGATGGCATAATGGCTATGTCACTGGACTCCCATGTAGTCGACCGCAGTTCGAGTCCTGGACCTGGTGTCTTAAACTAACACCAGGTGTGTGTGTGTGTGTGCCCAAGATCCCAAGAGGAGAATGGAGGAGAAGGGATTGCAGCGTGACCATCCCCCCTGGGGGGTGATTTCTCGCTTTCTGTCTCTCTGTCTTTGTCTTTCTGGCGAGTACACGCGCCCTATAGCAAAAGCCTCTCCAAAAAATAAAAATAAAATAAAAAATAATGCCTGGTGTAAGTGCCACCTGGTCCAGGATGCGACCACCTTGGCTGGAAGTGCTCTCTCCCTTTACTCGCACCACTTTTACTCGGGGAATCTCTCAGCTGCCAACACGGGTGCTAAGGCATGGCTTGTCATTCATGAGAACGTTCCCCCTTCTACCTTATCCTGTGGAAGATCCCCTTCAGTGTCAATCTACTCTGCAGTAACTGTTAAAATTAGCAAGGGAATTGGGCCCAAGTGTGGTACAGGAGTAGCACAACTATACCCGTGTGGGAAAGGTCCCAGGTTTCTGTCCTAGGGCCCCCTGAACACACCAAGCCATGTGTGTGAGCTTGTGAGCCTGGCCAGTCAAGACAAGGGGTAGAGGTGGGCTGAAGATCTTGCCGGGAGTACCTGCTTCTCTGCTCTCTCATGGAAGAAATAAATGTTAAAAAAAAAAAATTATATCCTTGATTTGATCGTCAATAAATAAATGAATGGCATGGGGAAAAACATTTAATAAGTGAATGAATACGGCTCATTTTACCCAAGGTTAGCCTAGTTTATAAAAGCCACAAATAACCCAAAACACAGATGGTGATGGCCCATCCCAAGAGCCATTGCTGCAGCCACTGGCAGCTCTGACACTCCCACGCTGGTGCCACGGGAAAGCGTCTTCACCGATCTAAGCACCAGCAGCTGCCTCTGGTTGGTCTGGTTTTGCCTTTGGTTGGTTTTCATCTACGTGACACCTGGCACATATTTAAACATTCCTGATAGTGTCCTCTCATGTTCATATTCATGACAAGGAATACGAAGCTCGAGTGGCTCATCGTCACATGTAAGTGTCTGCTCGGTCCCTCCTGCTGTCCGATGGAGTGGAGTGCCCATGATCATGCTGAAGACCATGAACATTCTTTCAGTCCTTACCCCCAGGCCAACATAGACGAGGATACAGTTGAAAATATCTGCCTTTTTCTTTTCATATTTTTTATTACCAGAGAGAACTTGGGCTCTCCAGAGAGACAGAAAGACAGAGAGGGAGAAAGCATCCCCCATGACCACAGTGGAATGTGGCCATACCACAATCCCTTCTCTCTCTTTCCCAACCTGTTGGGATTTGGACCACACGTGTATGTGCACTAGGGTGGTTTTCAAACTCCCAG